GGCTTGAAATGCCGAAGTTTGGATTTTTGAAGTTTCCGGTCCGATAGTGAGTTTTTGATCCGAGGGTCGAATTGAAATTTCGGAAGTTGCAGTAGTTCCGTCATGTCATTTGGGAGGTGTGTGCAAAATTTTAGGTCATTCGGACGAGGTTCGGGTAGGTTTTTGATCGAAAGCGTGTTTGGTTGGAATTTGTAGTTTCTTAGGCTTGAATCCTTGATTAATTCGTGTTTCCGGTGTTGTTTTAGGTGGTTTAAGGATTGGTACAAGTTTGAATGATGTTATGGGATATGTCCGTAGGTTTGGTTGAGGTCCCGGGGGCCTCGGGTGTGTTCTAGGTGCTCAACGGAGCACTTTGGAGTTGGAAAATATTGCAGAAAACTGAACTCAGCTGTTGCAGACTTTTCCTCTTCGCGATCGCGGCCTCCCTCTCGCGTTCGCATAGTGTAATCATGGAGGGAGGCCAGTTTCTTCATCGCGTTCGCATAAACTTCACCGCGTTCGCGTACCTATGCCAGTCAGTTCTTCGCGTTCGCGAACCCTTGCACGCGTTCGCGTAGAACAACTTCCAGACCTCAGCATGTTTCCTTAATCGCGATCGCGTTACAGGCCACGCGTTCGCGTAGCTTTAAAAACCCCAGGCCTTCGCGTTCGCATCCTACTCCTCGCGATCGCGAAGAGCATATTCGACATCTTCCATCTTTCTTCTCCGCGAACGCGATCTAATCTCCGCGTTCGCGTTGCATTGAGTGTCTGGACAGTATTTAACATTTCAAAAACGAGGGTTAGCCATTTTTAACAAAACTCAAGCTAGAGAGCTCGGATTTGGGAGAAATTTCGAGGGGTTTTCAAGAGCAACGATTGGGTAACGATTCTCTACTCTCTTATGCTTAATACCCACTAATCTAATCACGATTTCATCTTTAAATTTCGGATTTTGAATGAAAATTGGGTGAAAGTTCATAGACCAAACTATTGGGTTTTGAGGGGGCATTTGACCTCCGATTTGGGAGATTTTTATATGGTTGGACTCGTGAGAGTACGAGGGTTCTGAAAATGTGAAAATTATTCGATTCCGAGATGTTGGCCTGAAGGGCATTTTGGTCATTTTACCTAATTTCACGTCGTAGCTTTGAATTAAATAGCAAAACCAGTTGTTTGCGATGTTATTTATGATATGTAAATGTATTGAATAGATTTGGGCCATTTGGAGTCGGATACTCGTGGCAAAGGCGTGGTTTCTAGTTGATTTTTAGCCGGTTCGAGGTAAGTGGCTTGTCTAACCTTGTGTGGGGGACCTTTTCCCTTAGGATATGATCTTGAATATTTGAATGCCCTGTACGTGAGGTGACGAGCGCGTACTTGAGCTAAATGTTGTAAATCCATTTCTACTTGAAGTATTTAAATTGAACTTTCTTGTTTACTTGTTCATTTTAACTGTAAGTTTGTACCTGTGCTAGCTTAGAGACTCATGTTTAGCTGGCTTACCTGCTTATTTGCTTTAACTGTGCTATTTGTACTCTATGAAGCATGTTACGCTATAATTTACTACTTCGTGTCCTGATTTTTAGCATTGTTCCGAGATTTAGGAATCGTTGTTGTTGTGTGTTTAATTTGGGACTACGGGACGGCTTCCCGGGAGATCCCCTGTACTTGAGATATTCTGGACTGAGGGTGCGGGATACCAAGAGATCCCTGGCACATGTGATTCTATATATATATTGGGATACCAAGAGATCCCCGACTTACTTATTGAGGATACTAAGAGATCCTCGGGATACCGAGAGATCCCTAGTGTTGATGATGAGGATACCAAGAGATCCTCGGGATACCAAGAGATCCCCCGGCTACTATTCCTTGTGAGGGCAGTTTTCCATATATTATTACCTTTGCTTTCTATTACTGTTCTTCCTTATTTACCTGGTTTAGATTCTCGTTGTAGACTTTATTTAAACTATTTCTGTTATCTCATTATTTATTATGTTATCTCAGAAGGGCCCTGACCTTCCTCGTCACTACCCAACCGAGGTTAGGCTTGGCACTTACTGAGTACCGCTGTGGTGTACTCATGCCCTTCCTGCACATGTTTTTCATGTGCAGATCCAGGTACTTCCTCCCAGACGTATCATCCTCGTGGTGGAGAGTCCTAGCTGAGACTTGAGGTATATCTGCTACGTTCGCAGACCAGGAGTCTCTACTCTATTCCGGCTTTAGCAGATAGTTCCTTTTCTTTCCTTTCATGTTGTTTAGACATTCTGGTGTAGAGCAGTTTACTGCATTCTATTAGCCTGTGTTTCCCGTGAGTTTTCGGGTTTTGGGATTTAGTTATAGACTTCCGCATATTTTGAGTTGTATAGGCTGAGTGGCCTTATATATACAGTTGTTACTTCCGTATGTTCAGTTTTAATTTATTATTCCGCAAATGTTAACTCGTCATTCCGCACTGTTAGGCTTACCTAGTTGTAGGAACTAGGTGCCATCACGACATGTTCATGGAGGGTGAACTGGGGTCGTGACACCATTTTATGAAAAAGAATTTTTTTTTTTAATTTTGCTGTTTTTTTGTTATTCTAATTTTTGTTAGTATTATAAGATACAGAACTATCGAATAAAAAATTGAGTAAAGAAATGATTTGGCATGAATTAGCATTTATTCCAAACATAAGTTAATTTTTATATATGCTTGTTTTAAAGGTTGGGAATTTTTCAAAAATTCGGGTCAATTTGGACGGGTTGGAGTACAAACCTATTGTTTAATCTAGGGGTGTACATGGACCGGGTTGGTTCTGTTTTTATCAAAACGAAACCAAACCGACTATATCGGTTTGGATTGGTTCGGTTTTGTCGGGTTTTTCGGGTTTTCGGGTCTTTTTGTTACATGAATATTATTTCAATCTTACTTTGTTAAAATTATAGATAAAGCTTCGATAAGCGAATATATGTTTAGTAAATATGGAAAAAATTGATAAACATATGATCTATTAAAATATTCTAATGGGAGAATTTTCTTAGTAACACATGATAGTTATTTTCTTAGTCGTCTAACAATAATTTTTTGGTAATTTACGCTTTCAAGGTTAATACATGAGAGGATCCCAAATATTTCTATATTTTCTAAAGAAAATTCACTATAAAGTCTTAAAAATATAGATAAAATTTATATATTTATATGTCGGTTTGGTTTGGATTTTTTTTACTCAATACTAAACCAAGTCAAACCAAACCTACTCGGGTTTTTTAATTGGTCTGGTTTGGTTTTTCGATTTGGTGCGATTTTCCGGTTCGGTTTGAACACCCCTAGTTTAGTCCATCTTGACCTAGCCCATTTTAATCCAAGTGAATTTTGGATAAAATTGTGCAATAACCCATTTAATGATGCAACCCATCTTGATCAGCCCAAATATAACTTCATTTGCCACCCCTTATCCTAACTATTGTTAAGTTCTTGTTTTTGGTAACTAAATCTAAATCATTAATACTCCTCCGGTCCAAAATAAGTGATTTTTTGGATGTTTTCACACAGATTAAGAAATTCGCCTTTTAGCATTAATTAGCAATAGAATTGACCATATTAACCTTTACTATCTCACATAAACACTCCTAACACATATTCCAACACTATTTACTCCAAGGACAATGTAGGAAAAAAATAATTAATTCATTCTTGAAATCTGAAAAAATCACTTATTTTGGACCACAAGAAAAAGGCCAAAAAATCACTTATTTTGGACCGAAGAGAGTATCAAATATGACATATAACGTACATTAAGTGAGAACTTGGAAAAATAAAGAAAAGGGAAACTGAGGAGGAGCCGAATCCGATAGGTCGTATCACCTGGAAATAAAATATGACATAGGTTTTTACGTCAAAAGGCATGGCAAAAGAGCAAGTTTGAATCGCCAATCATCAGCGAGAAAGAACCGATACAATGATATATACAGTCCACCATATTTAACCTTGAGCTTGTAATACGTCTTTCTACACTTCTTTGCAAATTAACCTTATCCGTAATAATTGTGGAAATAGTCTAAACAAACCTTTAAGCAATCAAAGTACTGGGGGACCATATATTGCTGCACCAAATCAAAGCCAAAAGAAAATGAAAGGTGAAGAGATATTGCCTAAAGCCAATCTACATTTTCGGCCAGTAGGACATAAGTCAGTCCGTATTCCAAAGGTGAAGACTTACAATTTTTTTATTGAGAAAGATCACAGGCTACGCATATTGGTCAATAGAAAGGCCTAAATACATTACAACTCTTGTGCATTTTTGCTCAAAAGGCCAGAGGAGAGTCCACTCCCTAGATTTTTCAGGGAATAAGCCTTCTCGTTCCATTCTTCAGTTGTCAACAAAATAAAAGACACAGTCCTTTATCATACCATCAAAGAGAAGGGAAAAACAAACAAGAGGAGGTATAAACTATAGGATGTAATTCCACGAGATATTAAAATGTTTTGATTTTCAATATTTGTATTTATTACGATGCAAAAGTGAAAATCTACTTATAGCAATTCTAACATTCTTTGGAAACACCTCATGGTCAGAAATGTTATGTACATCTTTAAGAACAATTTTGTCTTTTGATACTTTAATCTCTGAATACTAGTATATGTATTTTTTTTTAAAATTATATCTCATATGATTTTTAATACAAGTATTATTTAATCACACATTGCGATAGTCGGCATAAATTATTATTTTTCTCATATGACCAACCAAACACTACACTACTTATGTAATGATTATTTTTGTTAATTTTTCAATCAAACAATGTATTATTTTATCTTGAAATTAATTTACTTAATTCTAATTCTTTAATGCATGGTAGATTTCTTTTTGGAAATCCATTTACAACCAATAGCCATGGGTCTTTTTATTTTACAAGTATCCTATCTATTTCCAAGTGGCTTGCTGCATAAAGCCTTGTGGCCAAATGCTCTTAGATAATTGGTACATGGTAAGAGTTTTTACATGTGGCACTGATTTAAAGCCAAGTGTTGAATGGCTTTGACAAGTGGCTATGCAAATCTACCATGTGTCTTCATGCATGGAAGACTAGGTACACTTGTCAAATGGACTAATATACTTGGACAAGTGTTAAAAGACTCTCCACACTTGTCATACATACAACCTCCCTAATTGCCTATAAATAAGATGATCATTAGCCATCATATTCACTCAATAACCAAGAATTAATCTTGATAATCATTATTTTCTTCCTACAACATTTTAATTTCTGTAACAACTACAGAAAAAACCTTCATCTTCTCTTCTTTCTAGGCAACTGTTTTGTGCAAATTCTAAACTTCCAGCCACGAGTGCACGTGTTTGGAGGTGCTGTGGAACCTTGGGAAACGGCCGGTCTTAATGATTTTCACCTAGTCGGGCCGAAGTCGCTTTCGAGGCAGTGGCTTGCCACGAGACAGTATTTTTGATAAATTATTCTTCTTTCCTTCTTGTTCTTAGTCAATATTATCTACTCATTTTTCTTAAAATCTGAAAACGATTTCATATATAATATTGAATAACCACCACTTTGAACAAAATACTTCTTGATCTATCAAAGCTTGAGCCTTTAGATGGACACAATTATAAGCGTTGGTCCCAGAAACTTTTAATTTTTTTTGAACAATTAGAAGTTGATTATGTTTTGATTAACGATCCTCCTGTTGATATTATTGCTGATAATTCTAATTCTGCTAATATTGTTGTTGCTGATGATGCTGCTAAGAAGAAATTTGCAAAGGATAATAAAATAGTGAGATGGCATCTGTTTAATTATATGACTAACCCTCTCTTTGATTTGTTTATAAATTATAAATCTGCTAAAGTCATATGGGACAGTTTGGAGAAGAAATATGGTGCTGATGACGCGGGAAAAAAGAAGTATGTCGTTGGAAAGGGGATCATGTTTCAGATGGTTGATGATAAGCCAATCATGGAACAGGTTCACGAGTATGAGAACTTGACTGCTGATGTTTTGAACGAGGGCATGGAGATGTGTGAGGTTCTTCAGGCTAATGTTCTGCTTGAAAAGTTTCCACCTTCCTGGAGTGATTACAGGAATCAACTGAAGCACAAGAAAAAAAACTTAACTCTTCAAGAACTGATCAGTCACATGAGAATTGAGGAAGCAAATCGTCTCAAATATGAGGAGTCTGAACGGCTTAAGGATAAGATGAAATCTCTCTCTCTCTCTCTCTCTCTCTCTCTCTCTCTCTCTCTCTCTCTCTCTCTCTCTCTCTCTCTCTCTCTCTTAATTCTTCAAAATCTAAACTTGTTGAATCTTCCAGTACTTTTGTGAAAGTGTCACGACCCGGACTTTTCACCCTCGGGAGTCGTGATGGCGCCTACTCGTGAAAGCTAGGCAAGTCGAGTATTATAGATCTTAACACCCTTTTCTTAACCTTTTAACTATTTTAAATCAACATACGATCAACAGCGGAATAATAATAATAATAAAAGAAATGCGGAAGACGAAATCTGATAACTTAGCCAAATACTAGTACGAAAAATACAAAATACATCTCTACCCAGAACTAGTATCACAATATCACGGACCATCTACGATTACTACAAACAGTTGTCTGGAAAGAAAGATACAATCTGTCTATGAAGTAAATGAAAACAGAATATAAAAGATAGAAGGAGACGCCAGGGCCTGCGGACGTCTGCAGGACTACCTCGAGTCTCTGCGGGACTGAAGGCAGCAACCTCGCTATGGTCCAAAAGCTCCGGTACCAAGATCTGCACACAGTGCAGAGTGTAGTATCAGCACAACCGCCCCCATGTGCTGGTATGTGTCGAGCCTAACCTCAGCGAAGTAGTGACGAGGCTAGTACAAAACTACCAAATAATCCTGTGCAGTTCAAGCATATACGGCAAGTAATAATAACAGGAACTAACAGTTAAAGACGGGAAGAGGAACATGCTGTGGGGAATATCAAGTACCAATAGAATCTCAGGAGAAAAGCATAAAGAACATCTTAAATTTCACATCAGCCAGAATACAGAAACAATAACGAATCAATGTCCACTTATTCTTTATTGTTGCGGCGCGCAACCCGATCCAAATCATATTTCACTGTTGCGCGTGCAACCCGATCCAAATCATATATCACAGTTGCGGCGTGCAACCCCATCCAAATCATATATCACTGTTGCGGCGTGCAACCCGATCCAAATCATATATCACTATTGCGGCGTGCAACCTGATCCAAATCATATATCACTATTGCGGCATGCAACCCGATCCAAATCATATATCACTGTTGCGGCGTGAAACCCGATCCAAATCATATATCACTGTTGCGGCGTGCAATCCGATCCTATATATTATTGTTGCGGCTTGAAACCCATTCCAAATATACAAATCAACACTAATCACATAATAATCCCGGCAAGAAAACAATAAGGGAACGACAATATCCCGGCAAGGGAATCAACAACTAGAATAAACACATCCCGGAAAGGGTACTAAAAGTAAAAATTAACTATGTCCCGGCAAGGGGATCAGCTATAACCAAACTTGTACCAACAATTAACTTCACAAATGAAATCTCAACTGGAGCCAATGCTCAACGGTACACAAATACTACGAAGATAATCATAATTCTTGTGCCACGGTAGCTAACCATCAAGTTAGGCATGAACATTATATAGTAAAATCACAACAAATCCGAATATAAGACTCACGGGCATGCTTGACACCAATGTATAGATACTCGTCACCTCACCTATACGTCGTACTCGACACCAACACATAGCAAATAAGACACAACACCTATTCCCTCAAGCTAAGGTTAGGCCAAACACTTACCTCAATGCCACGAACACAATCAAGCCTCAACTACCGCTTTACCCCTCGATTCCACCACCAATTTGCTTGTATCTAGCCACAATTTACTTAACGATATCAATGAATGCAAAATGAATCAGTTCTAATGCATGAAAATAGGTTTTCTAATGATTTTCCCAAAAAAGTCAAAAATCGACCCCGGGCCCACATGGTCAAAACCCGAGGTTCGAACCAAAACCCGGTTACCCATTCACCCACGAACTCAAATATATAGTTTGTTTTGAAATCGAACCTCAAATCGAGGTCCAAATTCCCAAAATTTGAAAATCCTAAATTCTACTCCAAAACACCCAATTTCCCCATGAAAACCCTTGATTTTGAATTGAAATCATGTAAAAGATGGATTAGATTGAAAGAAATGAGTTAGAAATGACTTACTAATGATTTGGAAGAGTGAGTGCCTTTGAAAAATAGCCCAAGAGGTTTTTAGGGTTTAAAAGTTGGAAAAATGAAGAGAAATCCGTCTAAGTTATGATTTACACAAGTGCAGATGTCGCAATTGCGACCAGGGGTTCGCAATTGCGAACCCTTTGGAAAATCTGCTATCTTCGCAAATGCGAAGAAACTGTCGCATTTGCGACACCTAGGAAATCCTGTCACCTTCGCAATTGCGAAGGAAACATCGCATTTGCGATGGGGTGGGCTTCGCAATTCCCAACCCAGTGTTCGCATTTGCGAAAAGGTCCTGCCCAGGCGTGGTTCGCATTTGCGACACTGGGGTCGCATTTACCAAGCCTGTCCACTTCGCAATTGCGAAGCCTGATCTCGCAATTGCGAGATCAGAGGCCTGGGCAAAAATACCAGATACCAGCAATTGCTCCTAAGTCCAATTTCACTCCGTGGCCTATCCAAAACTCGCCCGAGCCCTCGGGGCTCCAAACCAAACATGCACACTAACCTAAAAACATCATACGGACTTGCTCACGCGATCAAATCGCAAAAATAATCAAAGAAAAATCTCAAGAACTCTTAAGTTTCAAATTTCACAACCGAGGGTCCGATTCACGTCATATGAAGTCCGTTTCTTACCAAATTTTACATGCACAACTTAAATACCATATAGACCTGTACCGGGCTCTGGAACCAAAATACGGGCCCGATACCATCAAATTCAAACACATTTAAATTTCCAAAAATTCTTAGAATTTCAGTTAAACAATTTTCTTCAAAAATTTATTTCTCGGGCTTGGGACCTCAGAATTCAATTCCGGACATACGCCAAAGTCCCATATTTTTTTACGGACCCTCAGGAACCATCAAATCACGGGTCCGGATCCGTTTACCCAAAATATTGACCGAAGTCAACTTAAATTCAATTTTAAAGGCAAAATTAGCATTTTAATCAAATTTTTACATAAAAGCATTTCGGATATACGCTCGAACTGCCACACAAATCGAGGTGAGGTAAAAGGATGTTTCTAAGACCTCAGAACACAGAATTGACTTATAAATCAAGTGATGACCTTTTGAGTCATCACAGAAAGACAGGTTTAAAGGAAAACGGAAGAAAGGACAAGTGAAGAAGCAGAATTACTTCAATAAGCCAGAGGGCCATATTCGAAAGTCGAAAGGACCTTGCTATGTCTGCGGCAAAATTGATCACAAGGCTTTTCAGTGCAACCAGAGACAAGGACAAAACTCAAAGAATGGAGGAAAAGCTCAAGTCCAAGCTAACCTTACTGAGGGTGGTGATGTCATTGCTGTTGTGGTTGTTGAGGCGAACATGGTGGCTAACAAAACTGACTGGATACTAGACACAGGCGCTTCAAGGCACATTTGCGCCAACAAGTAGCTGTTTCACGACTTTGAGGAATCTGCTGATGGCGAGTGTGTCTACATGGGTAACTCCACTACAGATGAAGTTATGGGTAAAGGAAAAATTCTCCTTAAATTAACTTCTGAAAAAACCTTAGCCTTGAACAATGTTTTGTATGTACCCTCCCTTCGTAAAAATTTAGTTTCTGGTGCGCTTCTCAACAAAGCAGGTCTTAAACTTATTTTTGAATCTGAAAAAGTTGTTATTTCTCGTGGGGAGACTTTGTTGGGAAGGTTTACCGTAGTGGGGGTTTATTTGTACTAAACATTGCTAAAGAGATTACTAATAATGCTAGTACTTTCAATTCTGCTTATATTGCTGAGTCTATTGATTTGTGGCATGGTAGACTAGGTCATGTTAATATTGCTTCTATTAAAAGACTTAGAAAAGTGGAATTAATTCCTGCAGTTAATGTTGATAATTTTTCTAAGTGTCCTATTTGTGTAGAAGCAAAACATACCAAAAAAGCCTTTTAAGAATGTAACTAGTAGAAAAATAGAATTGCTTGAACTAGTACATTCAGACTTAGCAGATTTCAAGAACATTGTTAGTAAGGGTGAAAAGAAATACTACATCACCTTTGTTGATGACTTTTCTAGATACACTAAGGTATATCTTCTTAAGTCAAAAGATGAGGCTGAAAGCATATTTTTGAAATACAAGGCAGAAGTAGAGAATCAATTAGATAGAAAAATCAAGAGGCTTAGGTCTGACAGGAGTGGTGAATATAGTACTAATACTCTAGAAGCCTTTTGTGAGAAAAATGGTATTATACATGAGGTTAGTGCTCCCTACACTCCCCAACAAAATGGTGTAGCCGAACGAAAAAATAGAACCCTTAAGGAAATGGTGAATTCTATGCTTTTGAGTTCAGGTTTATCTGATAATATATGGGGGAAGCTGTTTTATCTGCATTCTATGTTCTTAATAAAGTCCCTCATAAGAAGTTAGATAAAACCCCATATGAGTTATGGAAAGGGTTTGCCACTAACTTAAAAATTCTGAAAGTGTGGGGGTGTTTGGCTAAGGTTGGTCTACCTGACTTTAAACAAGTAATTGTTGGATCCAAGACTTTTGATGTTATTTTCATTGGTTATGCTCAAAATAGTGTTGCATATAGATTTATGTCTTTGAATGATAGTTCTATTTGTGAATCTAGGAATGTAGAATTTTTTGAGCAAGTTTTTCCATTGAAAAATAATGTGCCTAGTGATGTGCCTAATAATGCGTCTATATCTATGTCTGTTAAATTCTCATATTGTGCCTTCTTCTACTGTTACTGCTAATGAGCATGAAAATAAACTTAGAAGAAGTAAGAGGTGTAGAATTGAAGCTAGCTTTGGTCCTGACTTTATTACTACTTTCTTGACTGAAAATACTGATCTTGATATTTTGAGTGATGAATTAGTGTCAATCTATTTAATAGAAGAAGACCCTAAGACATACAGTGAAGAAATGAGGTCAATAGATGCTAGGTTTTGGAAAGAGGCCATCAAAAGTGAATTAGACTCTATAATTTCTAATCACACTTGGGACTTGTCTGATTTGCCTAAAGGTTGTAAATCCATAAGTAGCAAGTGGATATTTAAGAAGAAATTGAGACTTGATGGTACAATTGAGAAATATAAGGCCAGACTTGTTATTAGGGGTTCTAACCAAAAGAAAGACATTGATTACTTTGATACATATTCTCCTGTGACTAAGATAGCGACTATTAGAACTCTTGTTGCTTTAGCCGCTATTCATAATTTAGTGATACATCAAATGAATGTTAAAACGACTTTCCTAAATGGTGATTTAAAGGAAGAGATCTATATGTCTCAACCTGAGGGATTTGTGATCCAAGGACAGGAGAATAAAGTATGCAAATTGAGAAAGTCTTTGTATGGTCTAAAGGAGGCACCTACGCAATGGTACGAAAAGTTTAATAGCACATTAGTGAGTAATGATTTTGTTGTTAATGCATCTGATACTTTTGTTTATTCCAAGATGATAGGATCAAATTGTGTTATTATATGTTTGTATGTAGATGACATGTTAATCTTTGGCCCTAATGTGAATGTCGTTAATGAGAATAAGAATTTTTTGTCTTCTAAATTTGAAATGAAAGATCTTGAAGAAGCAGATGTGATTTTAGGGGTTAAAATCAAAAGAACTTCTAATGGTTTTTCACTGTCTCGGTCTCATTATATTGAGAAAATATTGAAAAGGTTTAATTGTTTTGATATAGCAGTTGTGAGAACTCCTTATGATCCTAGCATACACTTGAAAAGGAATAAGGAATCTAGTATTTCTCAAATTGAGTATGCTAAGATAATTGGTAGTGTAATATTTCTCATGAATTATACACAACCTGATATTGCTTATGTTGTTAGTAGATTGAGTAGATATACTCCCAACCCTAGTAGTGAACATTGGAATGCTCTTCATCGTTTTTCTAAGGTATTTGAGAGGTACTATGGATTGGTGTTTGCATTTTAATAAATTTCCTGCTGTTTTAGAAGGATTTTGTGATGTAAATTGGGTTACTGACAATGATGAAGTTAGCTCCACTAGTGGCTATGTATTTACTTTGGGTGCAAGTGCTATTTCATGGAAGTCTTCAAAACAGACTTGTATAGCACGATCTACTATGGAGTCTGAATTCATTGCTCTTGAGTTGGCAGGGCAAGAAGCCGAGTGGTTGAGAAACTTATTGGCAGAACGTGCCTTTGTGGGGAAGACAAGATTCACCAGTTTCTCTACATTGTGACTCACAGGCGGCAATTGGAATTGCCAAAAATAGTGTGTACAATGGGAAAAAAAAGACATGTCCGCATTAGGCATGGCGCGGTAAAACAGTTGTTGAAACATGGTGTTATTTCCTTGGAATATGTAAGATCCGAAAGAAATTTGGCGGATCCTTTAACCAAGGGTTTGGCAAGGAGAGTTATCCTTGAGACGTCGAGATGGATGGGGCTAAAGCCTATAGATTGAGGAAATATGGTGGATACTCGTTTGTGGTCAAACGAAGCCATATGAGACCTCAATATGCACTACATTTCCTATCCCTATGGCGTGTGGTAGTGCTTTATAAGGTTGAGCTTATTTTGCTCTTAATGATTCCATAGCCTTAAGGTAGTCTATGTGTAGATAGACTTGATGGAATCACCTACGTGAGTGTAAAGGTGCGGTCCCCTTTTATGAAAGACTTGGGATGTCTTTCTAGAGCACTCATGAGACCCAAGGTATGTGCATGACCAAAAAAGCACTTTGTTAGTATCGCAGAGTTTGCATAAAATTAAGGATATAGTATGTGTTGTGGGGGTCTCAATTAATGTCCATTCAGTTCAAGAGTACTTCACTTTGTGGATGTTAGTTATTGCCTCATTTCACTACGTATCAATTCAAATCGAAAGATATTGACACTTAAGTACATGTTCCTTCTTTTGCCCAGAATTGTTCTATTTATGTCTTTGCATTAGTGGGGGATTGTTGGCATTATTTATAATGCAAAGTCAAAGATTCGTTTTGAAAATTCATTTACAACCAATAGCCATGGGTCTTTTTATGTTACAAGTATCCTATCTATTTCCAAGTGGCTTGCTGCATAAAGCCTTGTGGCCAAATGCTCTTAGATAGTTGGTACATGACAAGAGTTTTTACATGTGGCATTGATTTAAAGCCAAGTGTTGAATGGCTTTGATAAGAGGCTATGCAAATCTACCATGTGTCTTCATGCATGGAAGACTAGGTACACTTGTCAAATGGACTAATATACTTGGACAAGTGTCTCCACACTTGTCATACATGCAACCTCCCTAATTGCCTATAAATAAGATGATCATTAGCCATCATATTCACTCAATTCTTAACCAAGAATTCATCTTGATAATCATTACTTTCTTCCTACAACATTTTAATTTCTGTAACAACTACAGAAAAAACCTTCATCTTCTCTTCTTTCTGGGCAATTGTTTTGTGCAAATTCTAAACTTCCAACCACGAGTGCACGTGTTTGGAGGTGCTGTAGAACCTTGGGGAGCGACCGGTCTTAACGATTTGCACCTAGTCGGGCCGAAATCACTTTCAAGGCAGTGACTTGCCATGACACAGTATTTTTGATAAGTTGTTCTTTTTTCCTTCTTGTTCTTAGTCAATATTATCTACTCATTTTTCTTATTATATATATATATAGAGAGGGGGGGGGGGGGTCATGTATAATAATTATATATAATCGTATACATAATCAATATTTAATCTATATCCAACTCGAAAAAAATAAAGAAAAAGTACCCAAATTGTCAATCTATAAACAATTTTAACCAAACTAGCCAAAACAAAATTTCTACCAAAAATGGGCCAAATGTCATTGTAATACAAAAAGTTTTCAACTAATGTAAGTTTTTCTTCACTCTTTTTTTATTTTATATTTAACTCTAGTAGATTACGACTTATAAGTTATTTTAATATGCTTGTGCATGAAGAGAGACTTAATACAAGTACAAAAATGTTACAAAAAAAGATAAAAGAAAATCATAAATGCAAGTATTTTGATATTTCAACTTAGTAAAATAATTTAAAAAGTGAAGTAGATGAGCTAAAACTCTATTGGAAGTCATTGAAGCTTACTTAAGCTTGTGTTTGAAAATTCGAATTTCCGAAACTAAAATTTATTATGATTTGGGTGTTGTTGGAATAGATTGGATACATCTGAAGGAGTTTGAAACTCAATTCTGGACGAATTGGTAGAGATTTGAGGTGGGTTGAATTCAAATTTGAGCCAAATTCGAAGTAAAAAACGAACATAGAAGAATATGAGATGTGTTGTGTATCACATATGTATCATATATGTATCCCCTATGTATCTCTTATATATCCATGTATACATCTATTTGAGATACATGCCAGATAAATGTGTCGCAGAAGAACTTTCTAAACTTGAATTTAACTACGATTTTTATACCAAACTAATTCAAATCACATCCAATCTTCCT